CTTTGTTATTGATGATACAGAAAAGATTAATATTTTAGGAGAAACAATTAATGTATTTAACTATATTACTTTTATTAAAAAGATAACAGAAGGAGAAAATTTTGATGATAAGATGATTAATTAAAAGTTAAGAGATAATAATAGGTTCAATTAAAAAATATTTTTTTTCTCTTTAAAAAAAAAAACAACAATTAATCTAAAATATATAAATTTCAAATCAAAAGAATAACATTTCTTTTTTCAACGAAAAAGGTAAAAAATAACTTCCATCACCAAACGACAGTTTATGCTCCTTTTAACATGTCATCTAACGTGGACTTTGAGTTGAATTAAAGAAAATGCACCAAAGTTACAAACACCGAAAACAGGACTCGTCTGGCATTTACAAGCTCCATTTCACCCACTGCCATATTTAACTGGCTATTCAAGATCAAAAAACAAAATCAAGCAAGCCGAAATTGGATGAAAATGGTGATCGTTAAAGAGTAGAAATTAGTTCCAGTTAGCTACTTAGAATATTCAACTACAGAAGAGTAGAAGATTGAAATAACAGTCAAGGTATATGTCATGCATTCCTGAACAACATTCAGAAACTTACGTAGTACAAGGTGTGTAGTTTTCGAGTAACCTTTATCGTGGCTCTAACACTGAGAGGCTAAGTTCATTGGTTGAAGATGATTCCAGTTTAATGGATGAAGAAATTGTTTCAAGTGATTTCTTGTCAAAGAGAAAACCTGGTTTTTTGGGTTGTTCCAAGGCTGTGTCACTGCCCAGCATCAAAACCACAGAGGACATACTTAGCCTGTCTTTAGGGTGTTGTTGAACACATAAGAGACTAATGTGGATGCACCTTAATACTTCAGATAGATTGCAAGACTCCTTTAAAAATGAATCAATAAGTTCAAAAGGATGTCCTGTCCTCCTTTCCACAATCTCCGTGCCTAAACACAAATTATACACAATTGGTCATTTTTTAGTTCAAGTAAAGAAAGAAGGTACGACTTGAAGCTTGATACTTACATGTTCAATAAGGTTAAGACTATGGTTAAACCCTCTATTCTTTTTCCCACTTATCATCTCCAACAACAGTATACCAAAGCTGAAAACATCAGATTTTACAGAGAATTGCCCATAAATGGCATATTCTAGTGCCATATAACCACTGCAAAAAACTATTAAGATAAATTATATCACTCGCATTTTTGTTGTAAACTAGGGAGTATAAAGAAAGTTTAACTTACTAGGTTCCAACCACTCTCTTTGTGTTCCCCTCCGACTGTTCTCCAAATGTTCTAGCCATGCCAAAGTCCGAAATTTTGGGGTTCATTTCACCATCAAGCAAAACATTGCTTGCTTTGAGATCTCTATGTATGATCCTCAATCGAGAATCTTGATGTAGATAGACAAGCCCTCTAGCGATTCCACAAATAATGTTAAAACGCCTTGACCATTCTAATAATCTCCTCCTTGTATCATCTGTTGTGAAACATGATGTTCGTATCAATGTAGTGTTCAACTTGAGTTTTTGAAACAGATGGTTGCATTGAAATATGGAAACAATATGAGTTGAATTTAGGCCAAAGGGGCTATTTGCACTCTCCACTTAATTGTTTTTCACGGTCAACACCTTCCAAAATTTTTCCTCCCTATTCACACCCTCAACTTTTCAAAACCCGTGAAAAACCCAACATTTTAACATACCATCACGGTACCGTTACAAAATGCACTACGTGCCACTATATGCCATTAATAATCCAATGTGGATCTCTTTTTTAATGATGTGGCTTATTTTACACACGTATGGACGCCACGTGTATAGTAAGCCCACTTCATACGGAACTTTTAAAATAAATTTGCATAACCATTATGGGAATTTAGGGTTTATTTTCATCCCCTTCTTAATCTTCCTCGAGCTTTCCATCCATGGTTCTAATGGAGGTTGATTCAAATTGAAAAAAAAAAAAAAACAATCTTTTAATTCATTTGCAAGAAAAGTTGAGAACCAATCAAAGAATCAAATCATCATCTTATTATTCTATCATAACCAGAAACAATCACAAAAAAGAAAGGTGAAAGAAAGGTACAAACTGGGTTCCTCACAAACCCAGCTCTGTGGAACCTAGAGCTGGGTTCAGCAAAAAAAACTAGCCGCAAGCCCCCCCCC